GCCACCTGTACGTAGGTCGACCCACGGGAGTCCACAAGCCGCTGGGGCTTCAGGGCGTTGTGGCTCACTGCAGGGGGAATGGCTGAGCTGGGTAGCCTAGAATGACGTGCTGTGGTTGGTGGACACACTCGTTGTCAACGAAGCCTAGAGACCGGAGGTTGACACGCAATCGGCAGCGACGGGTTGACTGCTCGCCATCGTTCACACGCAGCGGCCAGGCGGCCCAGGCCGTGCGAGGAGGGCTCTCCACAACCGTTCCATGATACAAAAAGGGGGATCAGGGCTGGAATCCGACTGGGAGTCAAGGGGGCCTTAGGGTGGATGGGATGGGAATGAGACGAGAGCCAAGGCAGGCTGAGGCGAGATTCGCACTGGGAATCTGGCCCACGGACCTTCTGGTTCCTTCGATCACTTTGAGCGGGAGGATCCAAGGAGGCCTGATAGGGTACGTGGTGGAAGCTTGTTAGGCGATTGGTGGATGGACAAAATTCATGAATTTGGCCGAGCGAAAAGGATATGAAGTTGAAGACTATCGACACACACATCTTTGTCTGAGAAGGAGTAATGAACCAATGCGATGAAACCATAATCCGACTCGAAGGTTTGATTCAGCAAGCAAAACTAACTTAAGCTCGGAACGACGGACGGCTTGAAGCTCCGTTCTGTCAGATCAAGTCAGGTCAGAACTGGCCGGCTGCTGCGACGGAGAGTTTGATTTGCGACAGGCACATGGTAGTGAGATGCTTCGTACAGGTTTAGTACATATGTACGTACCGACTATGGCGTAAGCGCCAAAGGTAAGCTGCAGTCTGATTTCTTTTGCTTGTGCAGCAGCGAAGAGGTGGATTGATTCTACCATGTATTTCGCGTCCTCAAAATGTCACTTTACCCATAACTGTGATGTCAGATGGTAAGCCCCAGCACCGCGGACCACGAACGCCGATTATATGTTCTGCCTGGAGTTCGTGTCCGTCTGCATAGGTACGTACCTAGGCAATGACAAGGTTCGACTCCGCTACCTCCGCTCCCTCCGCTTCCCAACATGGTAGGTGGCAAGAAGGTTGGATGGGGAGCATAGAAGGCCACAGAAGGAATAGAAGGAGCTTCCAACTCGCTCAGTAGGAATGTAGAGCAGGCCAGTCTTACTGCCAATCAGGGAAGCTACGGGGCACCCGGGCACAGTGTCCAGAGCAGGGTGGCACTGACACTCAGTTGAGCTCAACACCTAAGGGAGGTAGCGGGCTGGCACTGAACAACCCTCTCGTCTGCAATTGACCAACTCCACCCGCACCACCGACCCGAGCACATCTCACAACTCAAGCATCCACATTATGCAGGGAGTCATCATCATTGTCGAGAAGTGGCGGGCGGTGGGCTCTTCTAGACTGTATACCCGAAGAGACGGTCAATACCACGGGAAGCCCAGGAATGTGTTGCGAACTATGACGGCTTGCGCGTTCGGTTTGAGTTGCTCAACCAGCTGGGTTCACTGAGCACTCAAACCCAAACGGAAACGAACAGATGAAGATCGAGGGTTGCAGGCCTACACTGATGCAGCACCAAAGCCGTAACGTACGGGTTGTAGTGTGGCCCAGGGGAACGCGTACCACCAGCACGTGCAACACGGCCACCGTCAGGAGGATATTATTAGGGCGGCCGCCAGCCGTACGAGATCAGACGCCATCATCGGACGGCGGAGGAGGCAGAAGGGGGCCTGGCAATTCTCACTCGTGTCTCAGCCTCCTTCAGACGCATCAGCGGCGATCTGACACAGCTCTCGACCAGACGTTGTGCTACCTCGTGTTTCCAGGACGGGCCCGACTACGGCTACCTCCCTCCGCCACCCCTTTTTTTGGGGGGGGGGAGGGGGAGGGGGAATCTCCTTCTTTATTTTGGGCAGGTGGGCCAAGTACTGTGCGTGTGTTTTCGACAGAGGCGAAGGATGCGTGGATCACTTACGGTGGGTTTGTCATTCGAAGACCGGCTTGTGCAGCACGCACCGAGGGAGGCTGAGGCATGAATTGGTTGGGTTTTTTGTGCACCATTTTTGGTGCGCATTGGTGTAACGCTTCGTGCATGTCCAATACGTACAGTACTCCATATTGGCGTACGTTGTTGGTGCATTAGCAGGCTATTACGGGCACCACCAAAGTTATCCAGCTGGCTCCGCCTCCCCGCCTCCGCCACCCACCGCCGGTAGAGCCGCCATCTCGACTGGCAAAGTACCCTTCTCGCACTGATCACCCAGCCCAAAGTACCTCGCTGAACGCGCTTCCCAAGTACTTCTTGATACAGCTTGTGGCTCTTGGTTCTGAATCCACCCTCAACCCTTTGCCCATCACATTCCATGTTGCTGATTTCCTGATAGGGACCACTTGGTTTGAATAAACTGATCACATCATACTCTCCATTGTGTGGTGAGTTTTGCCCGGCATGAGCTATCGTCTTAGTGGCAGGTCAGGTTCTGTATCGATGAAATACCTAGGTACAGTAATAGAAGGTGTTGCCCTCCGCTGTCTTTTGCAATCCCATCCTCGAACAGTCTATCCGTAGCACATTGCAAAAACAGCCCGCCGGTGGAACACACCAAACAGCCAGCCAGCCACTCTCAGCCCAATGGCTCGGTGTCCAAGCTGAAATGGGACTCGGTCCTTCGTCCCGTCGGCGGCCCTTGTAGCCTCCTGCATTGTCGGATCGCGTCCCCGCCGTTGGAATGCTGCGCTACGGACCGTGTTTGGTCCCTTCCGAGAACCAGTCGGTGCCACTTTTTGTCCTTTGCCTCATACCCTTGTCAAACCATTCCCGCCAGAACGACATGGGCGGGAATCTGGGCAATCTACCCGAGGAGATGGCTCAGGTAGATGGAACTAGGAATTGCCAGAAACCAGAGCCAACACAGGAATGCATGTCGAGACTGCTGTTTGTGTTTTGGAATGATTTGCACGTTGGCGCCGCATAAGCCGCAGTGAAAAATGGTCGCATAAGCCGCCACAAGGTCACCATCGAGAGTACCGCTCAACAAAGGGATCCATCCATTCCGGCCCATGGCCTCACCTGAAGTGTCATGGACGCCCACACCAACACTAGCTCCCTTCCCAACCAAATCCATGTCAATAGCCCCCTACCAACTAGACGGGCTCACACGATAGTCTTTCTTCGGATTTGTCTAGGGAAGGTAATGTTAACAAAACCACAGTGAGTTTGATCTTGACGTTCCAGCCTTCGAGACCACATCAGCCCCCGACGTCGGCCATACGCGCAATTTCCCACCAAGATCCGGAAGTTTTTCTCATTACATCCGGTCTCATCTCATCTCCAGACTATGATTACGCTACCCGATAAATAACACTCACTTGCTATGTGAGAGTAACAACGGCCAAGCCTTGCCCAAGCCCACGTAACATGCTGAGAACCATGACCCCTCACACCGCAACCCTGCGTTCCCTTCCGGGAAGGATGTTGCCCTTATCGTTTCTCACGCCTGTAACCAGTCTGTTGACATCCACAATCTCATTCACCGCCTAGATCTAACCGCCCAAGGGAGTCGGTGTTGCCAGCACAAACCCATCTCCACTGCCGCCCTGTAGTGACTTTAGAAGCCTCGTACCCCGGCCTCGGCTCCGGGAGGGACCATGCCATCCGGTCGGTGCTGCAGGTCAACGGGCCCTTGCCCTCAAACGGCATCTGGCATCCCGTTGTCGTCAGCAACACCTTCCTAGAATACCTATCAAGACAAGTAGTATTCTTGAGATTGTCATCGGAGGCTTCTGCATTCCGCCATTTAAACACCAGAGGAGAAAAGATGGGCAAAAAACGGACTATAGGCGACGTACATAGTATTGTTAAGGAAACAGAAACTGGGCGGCTGTTGATGCACCTAGGTACGTAAGTTAGTCAGGCACCCTTCGACCGTGGTCGGTAAATCCCCAGGCGTTGAAACTAGCCCGGATGCGCCAACTCGCATTTTCCACCGGTGAGTAGGTGGGGGTACTTGGGAAGGCGTCCAACATTCACCGTTTCTTGTCGCTACAACTGTGGTGGCCTTCATGGTCGCCCTCCATTGTGCCAGATGGCGAGTCTATGGCCATGGCTAAGTACTGGATTTCATTGCGGTTCGGGATTAAGCTTGCAAGCTCAAACATGAAAATATGCTGAAGATGATGTCTGTGGTCGTGGAGTTGGTTTGTCGAGTTGAATCGGTTGCCCTTGCCAGACCCATGCTCGATGCATTGACGCTACAGCTGGTCAACCCAATTTATACCTAACCATCAAGCGTAAGTGTATCGGTTATGCCACCCTGAATGCTGGAATTTTCGCCTGTTCTATTCCCCACAAAGAAGCCGAAGATTGATCTAATCCTTTCGAACTTGTCCCTGGTCCCAACACATTGCAGAGTTGTAGCTCGGGTGGTGACAATGTCACCCTGGTCTCAGAATTGCAGCTCACCTACCCGGGGACATACCGCTAAAGTGCCATTGTCAGTAGCATTGCAGTCTGCTGTTAACTTTGACCGTTTATGGTTAGATGTGCTCAGTAATAACATGAGAGTAGGTACGGCAATAGGCATGGGTTCAGTGCAGTTCCCATCCGAGTTGGTAGTTAGTGGCAGTCGAACAACCATGCGTCTTGACGTTGAAGGAGCTGGCTGAGAATTACAACTTTGAAATGAGTTAGGCCCAGTGTATCTAAGATAGGCTGGGCAACTCTCTAAGTTAACTCGTCCACCAATCATAGATACAGAGTTCAGTGACCGGTGGTAAGTTAACAGGGGGGGATTGGAACTCCATGGATTTTATTTGGTAAAGCTTACGTTCATCTTTCTGGTCGAATCCTGAGAGAAAGATTTGTTATCTTCTCGCACAGCCGTCTCGGCACTAGTCAACTCTGTATGCACGATAATCTGACTACCTAAATTGTGGGGAGCTGAAGCCCACTGCATAACCCCGCCTTGAGACAGAAGACTAATGTACGACTTGAACTATCACGACATTCAACGTCCCGGACAGATAGCTCAGTGGTAGAGGTATGGCGAGCATGTCTCACTCTCCCACATTCGAGGGCTAACAATCATAATAGCGAGGGATTGCAGATCCCTAGGTCGCGTGTTCGATCCACGCTCGGTCCTTGATCCTTTACTTTATGTCCATCTTTTTGTCCATCTTGATTCCACCTCCTTGACGCATTCCCGCACCTGGGACCGGACATGATCACGGAGGACGCGCCCCATTTTGGTAAAAATAGCTGCACTCAAGAATGCACCTTAGCGCTGAAAATTCTGACCATGGACATATACTTCTTCAATTGCCAGGGGCTGGAGTAAGTGACTCTGGTGGCAACACTGGCTGAATGGCAACCACGGATAACTAGAGGCGGTTAGAACTTAGTAACATGGGTAAGAACGTAGAATACGCAAACAAGGTACGCTGCTACGAGAACTAGACGCCGCCCTAAAGGGACCAGAATCGACGACACGAAAGGAATCCAATCCCAATAAGTCAATTCTCAAGCGCGCCGTCTACATGATAGCTTGCGTTATGTTGCTGCAACCCCACTCCACTTGGGAGGGCATCAGGTATCCAACTGGGACGAGTGTGACTGCTATAAAAGAGTTGTATAATCTCGCAGGGCCAATTTCCGCTATCGAGGTATTGCGGACAAGGCTCCAAGTTATGTACTATTTCCCAACATGCGCCGCTTTTTCAGCATATCAGCCAGACTGGGAGGATCATGATATATCTTCCTGTCAAAGCAGGACGTACTAGTCTTGGTGGAGGCATTGGCCTGTGGCGGTGCACTTCCCTTGAGTTTCCAGTCAACCAGCCCGCCTGCGCCACCCTGCGTCATTCTCGCTCAACAGCGCCCCGCCTTCGCCGAGCCTTGGCAGCCCCCCTCCCACTCCGACTGGCCTTCCCAGAGGCCATCATGCTGCTCACATGACATCGGTAGCCGCCTCCAAACCAAGAACCAACACGGCGACGCCGATCACAACTACACCCGCAACCACATTTGCCTCGCCACCGCGCGCCTCAAGACAACCCGCGACGAGCCCTGATTCCGTCTCTACAATCATTGTCAACATGTCGAACCGCCAGCAAGCCCGCGACATGCAAGTCGAGTTCCAGGCCCGATTTCAGGCCAAACAGGCTCGCCGCGAAGCCCAAAAGGCCGCGAAGCAGGACCCCATCCTCAAGAAGCAGATCCAGGAGCTCCTTAAAAAGGGCGAGACCCAAAAGGCCTACCAAAAGGCCAAGGTGCTACTTTCCAAGCAGGCGCTTGCCCAGCAGATGGACCAGATGGCCGACATGGCTGAGCTGTCAGCCGCCCAGATCCAGGCCAACAACTCCATGAACCGCATGACACACATGATGGCCTCGTCCTCTCGTACCATGAACATTGCTCAGAAGAGCGCTAATCCCGAGAAGGTATGTTCCTTCACCTTTGATCGATGCCCCAAGGTCGATGTAGTCGGACTAACGCGCGAAATCCAGACCCTTGTCACCCTCGAGCAGTTCAAGCAGCAAAACGAGGAATACGCCATGTCCAACGGCATCTACCAGGACGCCATTACCCAATCAACCTCCGTCCAGGTCGGCGAGGACGCTGTTCACGAGCTCCTTGGAAAGCTGGCTGACGACGCTGGCCTCGAGTTCGACCAGCAGTTGCGCCAGGCTGCGCCGTCCACCGTAGACCCCCAGGCCGCTGCCGCTGAGCCTACCGCCGAGGAGGAGGACAAGTTGCAGCAGAGGCTGCGGGCCCTGCGGGCTTAAATGGAGGAGCGACATAGATCTACACTTGTTTAGAGAGGCGCTAGTGTCATGACATGGGTTGCGCTCAAAGTTTAAACGGTTGATATCTTTATTTACTGGACACAGGATATGGCGTTGTTGGGGTTTGGGAGGAGGCACAGACAGTTTCTTTTTTATTGTTACGAATGCATCAAACAGATCATTGTCTACTTCGTGCGCCGCATATTGAGCTCGCGATTCCCTGGTTCCTCATCCTTTGACAAATATCCACTCTTTTGTTTCAACATGTCTACCATGCCCAAGTGTGCCATCATCACATGTCTAACCTGAAACCCCGATGTAAATTACATGTAGAGACTCGCCACAGCCGTGATATCCCGTTTGATCATCTCCTGTGCTTGTTGCATTTTCTGGTACAGCTCAGGGTCACCAACGATTCTCGCAGCATTCTTGACCTCCCTGCACGTTTCGTCCAGGCGGGTAATGGTCCGCACGATTGTGCCTTCTAGCACATCAGTCAAGCCTGTAATATTTTTAAAGCTCATTCCCCTGGCCCACTCGTAGACGACCTCCATTAGGCCAAACCTTGGCCGCGAGACGAAGTCGTTGGAGTCGTCTGCCGACTGAATGACCTGCAATCTTGTCTGAACGTCATTAACCTTCTCTGAGATAGCAACGATGGTATCACGGCCCTTCTCTAGGTTTCCGGTCAGAGCAGGTTCCATGTCTGTCTTCTCCTGGAATACAAATGCCGAAAGAAGTGCCGCGATTTCGGCAGGCTCGTAATCGGCGAGGACGTTGTCGAGGATGAGCTCGGTGAGGACTAACTCATCACCCGAGTGGACCTCACAGGCAACCTTTCCCTTGAGTTGAATGCGTGTTGCATCATCGATGAAACCAAGCTCCTTCAGCACCTGGACGCGCTGCTCATAATCGGGTAGCAGTTGAAGGTTCTGGTCCGACAGTGATTGCTTCAGCTGAGAAATGTGCTCCTTGATGAGCCACTCATCATGGCACATGGCAAACTGGGTGCAAATTAGTACCAACAGACACGAATAGAACGGGAGGATGTGCCTACATGTTTCAAAAATTCTGGACACTTGGTAGCAGGCGAGTTGGTAATCGTTTTGACCAGGTTGATCCTCTGCTCGACCATTTCCTGGAGCTGTAGCTGCTTGATTCGGCTCAAGTCTGCCTCATCCATTCTGTCATCCCAGGAGCTGCAGATTTCATGAAGACGATCCTTGGCCTGATGATAGCCATCTCCACCTTGGAATATTTCTGGTATGATGCCCTTGGAGACCCATTTAGTCAAACATTCGACATCGCTCAGAGGCACATGCAGAGTCTTGGTCTGCACACGCTTCTTCGCCTTGGGGAGTTGGTGAAGTAAGTTCCTCATAGAGGGGATGAATGGCAGCTGGTCAGTTGCATCGCGTCGCTCTCTGAGGGATTTAATAGCGCAAATGTGGAGGGTTGGATCCTCCGTTGTCCCCTTGTTGCTGAGACCATCAGCCAAAAGAATGCCGACAGAGCGGATGCCATCCCAGTTGAAAACGATTAGGCGGTGTTGAGAGAACATTCTTCGTCCAATGGGAATCATTAGCAGACCCTTGTATAGATCCGTGGTGAGTTTCTTGTAGTCTTCGGCCGCTTGGTGGCATTCATCCATAGAAACATCGCAGATACTGCATGGATCTCGCTTGACCTTTGCTAGATCTGCCTGAGCCAGCTTGACATCCTTCTCGTGTTCAGGCAGCAGTTGTTGAGTTGCGTGTTCCGAGAAACTGCGCTTAATCATTTCCTCAATCTTCAATGCTTCAACCCGGAGCAAGTTCAGAATCATGTTGTAGGTCAGTCTGAACTGCGACCGCAGCTTCGAGGGCTCCCCCAATATCATGTTTCGCAGTTCTGCAACCGGTGGGGCGTCGTCGGAACTTCCTGGGGGCACAATGATAACCGATCCAACAGGGTCCAAACCACGTCGGCCAGCTCGACCAGCCATCTGTGTGTATTCGCCTGGTAAGAGGTTTCGGAAAGAATGTCCGTCATGCTTACGGTACCCGGAGAAGACAACCGTTCGAGTGGGAAGATTGAGACCCATGGCGAAGGTCTCCGTGGCAAACAGCACCTTGACCAGCGTCTGGGCAAACAAAATCTCGACCAGCTCCTTCACAATAGGCAAGAGGCCACCGTGATGCACGGCAATGCCCCGACCCAAGAGTTCCCGCAGTCTGATAATCTGGGGAAGGTCTCTATCTTCGGGCTTCAGTCGCGCGACTGATTTTTCAATAATCATGTGAATGTGGCTTTTCTCGGACGCAGTACAGAAGTCCTGGTTGCTGAGAGCGTCGGCATTCTCTTCACATCGTTTCTTGGAGAAGACAAAGATGCAGGCTGGAAGAAGGCTGTTCTTTCTGAGGAACTGGACGAGATGTACCCAAAGGTTCTTGTCCTGTGCCGCCGATGAGAATCCTCCAGGGCGCCCACCGCGTCCCATGTGGCCAGGGTTGTGACTTGCTCGGGGAGGTCCTCCGCGGCCTCTTTGTTGTTGTCCGCCTCCTCGCTGTCCACCACCTCGCTGTCCACCTCCACGCTGACCGCCTCTCTGGGCGCCTCCTCGCTGAGCACCACCTCGCTGTCCGCCCCGAGGATTCCCCCCTCGACTGGCAATAGTAGTTTCTGCAGGCTTTTGCTTGTCTTTGCCCTGCATCACCTGGTGTGCTTCCTTCCATCCCTTCTCGATAAATTTCTTTTCCGAATCCACAATCTTGTGGATATCCTTCCCTGCCCAGAGATAGTGTTCCAGAGGCACAGGCCTCTTGGGAGTCGAGATGACATAAATATCCTTCTGCTTCGTTCTTCCAACCCAGGAAGCAAACTCGTATGTGTTAGGGACTGTGGCAGACAGGAGAATGAGTGACACATGCTCCGGTAACATGATGATGACCTCCTCCCATACCACACCTCGTTCGAGGTCATTGACATAGTGGACTTCGTCGAAGATGACAAACTCAACATCTCGAATGACGTCAGCTCCACGATACAGCATGCTTCGTAGAATCTCTGTAGTCATGATCAAGCAGCTAGCCTCGGGATTGATTTGAACATCACCAGTCAGAATACCAACCTCATCAAAGGTTTGCCGGAAATCACGGAACTTCTGGTTGCTCAGCGCCTTGATTGGGGACGTATATATGGCTTTGGTCATGTGCTTGGCCGCTAGGGCAATGGCATACTCTGCCACCACAGTCTTGCCGGCCGAAGTATGCGCTGCCACAAAGACGGAATCGCCGTTCTCAAGGTGATAGACTGCCTCCTTCTGGAAAGTGTCGAGTTCAAACGGCCAGTCCTTGGCCATGTCCGGCACCAGGTCTCT